TGGCATCTTAGAATTCGGGTTTCTCCCACTGACTGACACGACCAAATATGATTTGACAGGCCAGGAAACTCTTGCTTGGTCCCGCCCCTGAAGATGTGGAAAGTTGATTGATAGGCCAGGAGGCCTTTTGACAGTCGCACCCCCGATGACATATCACTATGACAGGCCAGGAGACTTTTGGGTCAGTCCCACCCCTGAGGACATAATAGCATGATTGATAGGCCAGGTGGTTCTTGTTCAGCCCCGCCCCTCATGACATAGCCCCATGATTGATAGGCTAGAAGACTCCTGCTCAGTCCCGCCCCCCGAAGACATAACACCATGATTGACAGGCCTGTAGACTTTTTGACAGTCCTGCCCCTGATGACATAACGCTATGATAGGCCAGGAGACATTTGGGTCAGTTCCACCCCTGAGGACATAATACCATGATAGGCCAGAAACCTTTTGGTCAGTCCCGCCCCCAAAGAAATAACACTGACAGGCCAGGAGACGTTTAGGTCAGTCCCACCCCTGAGGACATAACACCATGATTAAAAGGCTAGGAGGGTTCTTGGTCAGTCCTGCCGCTGATGACATAACACTATGATTGAAAGGCCAGGCAACTCTTTAGTCAGTCCCACCCCCAAGGACATGACAATGATTGACAGGCCCTGAGACTCTTTAGTCCTGCCCCTGATGACATAACAGACAGCCCCATGATAAGCCAGAAGACTCCACCATGACATAATACTATGACAGACCAGGAGACTCCTGGTCAGTCCCTCCCCCAAGGATATCATGAGATGATTGACAGGCCAGGAGACTCCAGGTCAGTCCTGCCCTTGAAGACCTAACGCCATGATTGACAGACCAGGAGACTCCTGGTCAGTCCCACCCTGAGGACATAAACGCCATGATTGACAGGCCAGGAGACTCCAGGTCAGTCCTGCCCTTGAAGACCTAACGCCATGATTGACAGGCCAGGAGACTCTGGGTTCAGTCCCACCACCAGGGACATAACACGTTGATTGACAGGTCTGCCACATCCATTCACGTCTGCTGGAATCCCACCCGCATTCACGCCCATTGAAGGAACTAGTATCCATGATGGGGATTGTAGTTTCATACAGCAGTCTTGAACAGTAAAAGGAAGTGATGGCGGCTCCTCCTGGATCCCTCGTCGCCCTTCATGGTCACTGTTACCTCTGGCCGGTGGTGACGTAATGGGCATTAAAAAGGTGATTTTACCAAAAACCATGTAAGTGTCCGGGGAATAATCTGATTGTCACCGCGGCAAAGGACGGGAAGTCATGTGACCTTCTACTACAATCCCCAATTCCAGCTTTCACGCCTCTCATTGTTGGCCAGCCGCGGTGTTTGCATTCCACGTATGGTGGCCTGGAAGGCTTTTGCGGGCTGTCATATGTACATGTATCGCCTGACCAGCCTCAGGCACAGCGCGATCATACACCAGCATCTCTGGGTCAGCCAAATACAGGGGGAGGGGATGAGCAGCTCAGGGGGACGCTGCCCCTTTGTGGGGCCATTAATAACCGAGACAGTGTATGGATGACATCCAGAAGGATCAACCTGCCCATATAAACCACACATTGTAGCCTGATCTAGTCCAAAATAATCTCATCTTTGTCACTCTGCTCTCTCCTCACATCAGCATGTCCCTTAAAGGGCACTGCAGGGCAGCTAACTGGCTCCTTGTGCTGCTTCTCCACCTTCAGCCTGAGCACCGCTGTACCGGGGTTTTCTCCCTGCAGCATTCTGTCTGTGTTTCCATTTGCTGTAGCTCCACCCACACAGCTGCTCCTTCCATTCACAGGCATCCGTGAATGGGAAAGGCTACAAGTCCCATCTGCCACCGCAGCTGGTGGACTCTCTGATCCCATTGGAGCATCAGTGTAGTGACCTCCCCGCACTTGTAGTCCATTGACTACTTCCTCCGTTCCTATACAGGTAGGGGGTGGGCACAATGCAGGGGCCTGACCATTGCCTCCACGATGCACTGATCACAGTTGTAATGCTTTTCTGGCTCCAGTTCATTTTATTGGTGTGGGCGCATTTAATTATTTATTCTTCAAAAGGTGGACTGTGTCTTTAATATTCTGCCCAGGTTGGCCCGGTCTTTGCTCTGTTGCAGTTCTGTGGCAGCTGAGAATTGTTCATCACTCCGGGGGTGTCAGGTGCCATTGCCCCGCCCCCACCCCTG